TCTTAGTATCATTTAAAATATATGATAAATATAAATATATACAGATAACACAATAAAAAATAAAGGGCATATGTGACAATCATTATAAAAATAAGTATACAGAAGCAAAGATGCATAGAGCTGTCAAGAAATTTTATGGAAAACATAGGACTCTAGGGCTAGTCAGATTGAGAAGAGTAAGACATAAGAGACATGGTGTGCACAGAATGCTTAGAGGAAAAAAGATATTCACAATATAATGTCTTCAGGGATAGTGGGTACAGCAGCTTGGCCAGAAGGAAGCTATCAATATATTTTGAAATGCACAAAATGTAAAGGAGCCTGATTAATATTTAAATGTTACCTTTTCCCCCCTTGTAATGGCTGTCAAACCACTTCTAGGAGAAAGCACTAAAAATACCCACATTTCAATTAAAGGGAATTAGAAAAATGAATTAAGGAAGTGAAACTTGCACAGGAAAGTTCCAGCTAACTTCAGTATAAATCCCAAAGTTCTTTAGGGGGAAAGTTTAAAGGAGGTGAGGCATAAATTAAACACACTTATCACCTTGATAGGATGTAGAAAGATGCAAAACACCTATGCTTCCATGGTAACTAGAAAATCCTGGACTAAATGAAAACCTTACTTTTCTATGGGGTTAGTGAAAAGTGGTGGATGCCAGTAAGCAAGACCAGCTTCATAATTTGTGACAGTGCAGAGTCCCTTGCTCAAAAAATAAGAACTTTAAAATGGTAACATCAGACTACTAAACCTTCTCATCACAAGGCCCTGTGCAGTGGCACAACTTGAAAGCTCGTGAAGATGCCCTCCCTGGAAGCCTTAATGACCTGAAATCCAGAGAGAAACATCTTTACAAGTGAGTATAAAGCTGCGGTAGCTTCCTTACCTGACAGTGAGCTCTGAGCATCCACTGAGGCAAGTGTTGGCCTGCCATGGGGCAGTAACTTTGACGAGATAAAGAGAAATCAGCTGGGCTTCAAGTGTCAGCATGGGCTGGGGGAACAAACTGGAGTCTGAAAGACACCCAAATGAAAAAATAAATGACTCAACCAAACAATCCCTTTCCCGGTCCCCACACCTTACTTCTTAATTTTGTCAAAAAAGTAGTAGTATTGGAGGGGCTGGAAAGATACAAAACTTATATAAACCAACACATTCTTATAGTATTTGGATTCCAGAAGCCCTGACAACGTCTAAGGTGAACCAAAAGTATCTAAAACTTAATCCCACACTTGTCCAAATCAACACAGACAAGATACAAGAAGTGGCTATGAAGAGGGAGAGTGATTGGGTTAATCACAGATGAACTCAATCTAACTGAAGCTGCAGCCAACCCTAAAGCTCAACTTGAATCTAGGAGAATTTTTGTTTTTTCACATCAGCCTCTCAAAGTGGTAAGGACAGAAAAAGGCTTGTGTTCTCAAAACTAAAACAAATTAAACTTCAGCCTCCACAATTTTTCCCACGTAATATCTAACACACAACACAACAATTTGAAGACATACAAAGAAGGGAAATGGGACCCATAATCAAGAGAAAATACAGTTAATACAAACCAATTCACTGAGAATCCAGTTATTGTAATTAGCATCAAGGACTTAAAAGTAATATTATAAATACACTAAAGATTTTACAGTATAGGTTGGATTACAGTACACGAAGACATTGGGTATTTCAAGACAAATAGAAATTCTAAAAAAGAAACAAATGGGAATTCTGGAGCCATGCAAAAAAGTAAACATAAGAAAACTGGTGTGTCTATATTAATACCAGACTATGTAGACTTTAAGACAAGGAGTATTATCTTAAGTATCTTAAGTATTATCTTAAGACAAGGAGTAGTATTATAGTATTTATATCTATAAATAAGGTTATTTCATATTGATAAAAGGTCAATTCATTAAGAAGTCATACCAATGCCAAATGTGTTTGTGTCTAATAAAAGAGCTTCAAAATAAATGTAGCTGAAGTTGGTAAAACTAAAGGGAAATATAGGTGTTCGGCTGCACCTCACAGACCTGCAGGTCTTGTAACTGCCTACCTGCGAGATTGAAGAAAGAGCCCGGGAACAGTGACCGAGACTTCAATGGTTTATGGATAGGGAGACTTACAAGTCCAAAGCAAAGTTCTGGAGCAACATCTCACGGTGAGCGGCATGCAGGACACTGCAGCCATGTTGCTATTCTGGTGAGAAGGAAGCTACTACCGTTTATAGCGTTAACTGGCTTCAGGTTGGGTCATCAGTTACCAGGGAAACCAGTAGAGGCTGGTCCCTCACAGCCTCTCCGGTTAACAAGGCAGATGCTTCCTTTTGACAAACGAGCAGGTGGAGCCATTTTGTTCTAAGGATTAGAACAATAACTGGCTGGGGGCAGGGACTGGAGAAGCAGGGAATGAACAAGGAGCAACAGAACAGCCATCTTGAGGGGCCCAATGATGCAACAGGCAAAACCACAGTTATAGCTGGAGATGTTAACACATCTCAGTAATTGGTGAATCAAGTACAAACACACACACATACACACAAATCAGTATGGAAACAGATAAAAGAATTTTATCAAGCACCTTAACCTAACAGACATTTATAGAACAACTATACCCCACAACCATAGAATACACAATCTTTTTAAGTAAAGGAACATGGATGCTTCACCGAGATGGACCTATGCTGGACCATAAGACAAATCTCAAAAATTTCAAATGAAATCACTCAGAGCTTGTTTTCTGACCACAATAGAAAACAGTAGCAAAAATGTCGTGAAAATCCTTAAATATTAAATAATCCACTTCTAAATAAAATATGGCTCAAGAGGAAA